CCTTGTTGCTATAGGGATAAATTTGATGGGTGTGCACCCATAGTAAGGGAGGTGAGTGGGTGAGTTCGGATTAATATGAAATGAAATAAAACCTCAGGAATTCGCAGATGCTATTGGGCAGTTTAAATATAATCCCTGGAGTTGGGAGAGCACTATTGGACAGTGAACATGACCCAGGAATTGGCAGAACTCTACTGGACAGTTTAAATATGACCCAGGAGTGGTTTTGAATGCTATGGGTCACTCTTTCTAGCAATTCAAAGCCATTAAAAGTTTAAAATACTATATTTACCAAAAAAAACCCAAAACAACCAACCAAAAAACCCCACCACACACATTAATAATCAAGGTGGGCCATTTCCAGCACAAATCCAGGTTTCCTTACAATGTAAGTGATCACTTTAGATAAGCTATTACCAACAGGAGAGTGGGTTTGTTTTTCTTTGGGGAGGGGGTGAGAAAATCTGGATTTGTGCTGGAAATGGCCCACCTTGATTATCATACACATTGTAAGGAGAGTGATCACTTTAGATAAGCTATTACCAGCAGGAGAGTAGGGTGTGGGGAGAGAAAACCCTTTGTAGTGATAAACACTCATTTTTTCATGGTTTGTGTGTATAAAAACATCTTCTGTATTTTCCACAGTATGCATCCGATGAAGTGAGCTGTAGCTCACGAAAGCTCATGCTCAAATAAATTGGTTAGTCTCTAAGGTGCCACAAGTACTCCTTTTCTTTTTGTGTCTCTCTGGATCCAGGGGCACCCAGAAGGCTGCCTGCTGCCATAGGGGGATGGGGCAGAGTCCCACTGGGGTGTGGGCGAGGAGTGCAGGAGCAGGCAGAACACCTCCAGGTGTCCCAGCACCGCCAGCGCAGGCCCCTCTCTGGTGAGCGAGTTGCTGGGGCTGTGCGCTGCAGGGGGACGCGCGATGAGCTGAAGCCAGACTCCGACGGAATCCAGCCCCCAGCCTGGTCGGTGCTCCCTGGCCTGGGGGCTCCTGCTCCAGCCTCTTCTGCCCCCTTGCGGAGGGGACATCTGTCCCCGTTGACGTACTGCTGCCACTCTTCCCAATTAGCCCTGCTCCAAGTGGCGCCTGGGCCCGCAGGGCCACGGGCACGTGGAGCTACGCTGGGGCTTGTTTGCTCATCCCTGAACTGCTGCCCTGCAGGGTGGTTGAGAAGTGACTCTGGAAGTTTCACCAGGGCCCTAAGTCCAGAGCCAAAGCAACAAATAGAAATGCTGCCCCTCCCCGCCAGCCTAGCATCCAGCCCTACCCCGCCAGCCCTTTGTATGACTCGCTGTGCCCAGGAGCCCAGTGCAGTCTGCGGGAACTTTGTAAACAATCCCGTTGCTGATGCAGCAGCGGGAACAGAGTCCAGCTCCCTCCCCCAGTGCCAGGTGGGCTTGGCAGGACACAGAGAGGGGAGGTCTGGCCTTAGTCCTCAAAGCCAGCAGCTGGGTCTGAGCAATGAGCGTTGCTCCCTGGAGCAGAGTTGGATGTCACGGGGCCAGGAGAGAGGTGCTTCGGGGCTCAGGAGCCCTCAGTCTCCTGCTCAGCTCAGCTGGATGGCAGAGCAGCGCAGGGCGGGGATGCAGTGCTGGGGCTGTGTGAATGCATGTAGCCAGTTCATGCCGGGGCTGAGGGCTCATGCTCGCTGCCCACTGAGCCCCCGGGTTCACCTCTGCACGGAGAATGGCTGGGAGCCGTGTTTGCAATAACACAGGGAGCCCCAAGTGGCCCCATCCAACCGACTGCCAGGTGAGGGCAGCCCTCCCTCCCCCATTAGAAAGGAAGCCAGAGGCGCTCTGAGAGCAGCCAGCAGTGGGTCTGCTTGGGGAGCTGCCGCTCCTGCAGTGGGCTGCGTCGGGCGCTGGGCCCAGCATGTCGCCCTGGCCGGAGACGTGGCCGGAGTCCCAGCTGGCCCGTGGCTAACCCCTGGCTCCTCGTTGCAGGGTCAGAACGCGGAGGAGGGGATGCAGTGCGCAGATGAGCTCGCCGGGGGCTACAGCCACTCCTGCCTTTGGTGGTTTGGGCCCTGGTTTCCCATTCTCCGGCTCTTCCACCCAGAGGCCGTTAAACCCGTGCTGCTGGAGTCAGGTAGTGAGGGTGGCCCCAGCCCCAGGAGTTTGTGTGTCCGTCCGTCTGTCTGTCCTGGGGCTCAGCAGGGGTTGGATTCCCAGCAGGCGCCTGGAGCTCTCGATGTCATGTGTGCTGCACCCGCCATGACGGGACCTCTAGGGACATGGGCCCAGTGGTGAGAGGGCAGCTGCTCCCTAGAAAAGCCCCCGGCCAGGAGGACTGGCTGCTGAGACCAGCCCTCCTCCACGTGGCTGAGGAGGAAGCTGCCTGGCTGTCGGGGCTGGGGGAAGGGATCAGGTCTCAGGCCGAGCTCAGCTCGGCAGGTGGCTGTTCATTGGGCTGCTTGTCTGGCTGGGTGCTGCCAACCCAGGGTCCTTAGTGAGTCCCCCTGGCCCCAGAGGAGTTAGGGCAGAGGCTGTAGCCATCCCTTAGCGTCCTGAGAGGAGCACGTCCCACTGGCTGAAGCCCAGCTGGAGCTGCCGTCAGGCTCTGGGCCAGTGACCCATGGGAGCAAAGGTTCATTGCAGCCCTGCCAGCATCCCTGGCTGGTGATAGGCGAGTGGGGGATCTGATAGCATCCAGCTGGCTCAGGGACACCTTCATCAACTCAGTCCATGGTCCCAAAGGGGGCACGGCAGGGCTGTGGGGTGAAGGGGACAATGAGGGAGGTGGTCCAGGGGAGAAACAGGTCAGGGAGAGTCATAAGGACCAAATGGCCGATATTCTTGGGGGGGCCTATGGGGAGCAGCAGAGAGTGTGAGGCTGATACTGTTGTGGGGGTGCATGGCCGTGAGGCTAGTGGGATGTTGGGGGTGGGGGAATCTGGAGAATGGTGCAGAGAGGGGGTGGTCGTGGGGCTAGTGGTGCAGGGGGGGCAGTTTCTGTCCCTATTGTCTCTGGCTGACCCAGGGAGAGGAGCAGCTGAGGCCAGCTCAGTCTCAGAGAGCTGGGCCTGCCAAGCCACCTTTGCCCGTCTCCCGTGTCACCCACCCGAGTGCCAGCCATTCGCACAGCCCTGCGAGGTAGGGAGTCACTGAGGTACAGAGGGGGCAGGGGACTCACACAGCATGTCCATGTAAGAGACAGGAATAGAACCCAGGAGTCCTGGCTCCCAGCCCCCTCCAGACCCTGCTGTAGCCACAGGATCCCCACTCTGCTCGCAGAGCCAGGGAATACAGCTAATAGGGAGTTTTAAGGATGCCAAGCTCTCTATTGTGAAGGCCCCACGTGACTGCCAAGCTCACGCAGTCCGTGGGTCACAGGCACTGCCCCAGGAGGAGTCTCTGTCGCGCTGCAGGCCTGGCCCAGGCTGCGGATGCTGCTTGTGCCCCGTGTCCTCCTACCTGTCTGTGACTCGCTCAGAGCAAGCCTGCTCTGCGTGAGGGGCCTGGTGGCTCAGCACCTGGTCCCTGTCGTGTGGCTCCTTCACGCTGTTCACTGAGCCTGTCCCGTTGCCCCAGCAGCCACCCTCCTGGCTCCTAGGGTAGAGCCTGGAGCAGGGTGTCCAGCAGGGTTCTGCCTTGTCTGATGGGGGCTGCTTTCACAGGGCGATGCGCCAAGGCTCCTTAGGAAACAGCCTGTGGAGCAGGTGGGCACTGGACAGACCCACATTCCTGCAGCTGCCCCTTTCCAGACCAAAAGGGGGCCCATTGGAGCTGCAGCTCCAGCCGGGGCTCTGATAACAGTAGTCCTGCACTCCTTCCCTGTGTCCTAAACCGTGTATGTGTGTGTGAGCGCTAACGCCAGGGTGCACCCCATTACCGCCCCCAGTGCCGTGTGTGTCTGAGCACTAACACCGGGGTGCGCCCATCTCTCTTCCACTCTGCCGTGTGTGTGTCTCAGCACTAAACCCCAGGTGTGCCGCATCTCTGCACCCCCGAGCCATGTGTGTCTCAGCACTAACCCCTGGGCCTGCCCGTCTCTGGTCTCCCCCACAGTTGCCATCGCACCCAAGGACTACCTGTTCTACGGCTTCCTGAAGCCCTGGCTAGGTGAGTGCCCTTTCTTCTGGGCTTGGATCTGTTGTGCTTGGTGTCATGGGGCCCGGACCCCAGGGGAGGGGCTTGTGGGGAATGGAGGGTGTGATGTTCCCCTCTGGTGTTATCTGGACCGATGATCAGCTAGGTCACTCCAATCCTTGACTCTGGGAGCCAGCCTTACCCTGCTCTTCTGTGAGAACCCCCACTCTGGGGCTGTTCACACACAGCCCCTGGCATGTAAGCTGCTCCTTGGTCTGTGCAATCGAATGACACTAGCCAATATCTCTGGTCCCAGACACAACCCTAGGAACCTCCGTCTTGCAGTGTCCAGTTATGCCCGCTGCAAGCTTATGAGATTTCATCAATTTAACAAAGAAATTGATATTTACCAGGCTTGTTCTCCCAAGGGGAGTCTCTGACACACTTCAAACCAAATGCACTGCGTCAGGTAGAATAAACAAAGAGATTTATTGACTACAAAGATAGATTTAAGTGATTTATAAGTCAAAGCAAAACAAGTCGGATTTGGTCAAACAAAATGAAAGCAAAACACATTCTAAGCTGATCTTAACACTTTTATTGTCCTTACAAATGTAGATGCTTCTCACCACAGGCTAGCTGGTTGTCCTTCAGCCAGGCTCTCCCCTTTGATCAGCGCTTCAGTGGCTTGGTGAGGTCTGTAGATGGAGGTGGAAGAGAGAAGAAGACCATGGCAAATGTCTCTCCCTTTTATCATGTTCTTTCTTCCCTCTTGGCTGTGTCCCCCCACCCTGACCCTTCAGGGTCAGGTGAGCATTACCTCATCGCAGTCCCTGACTGACCAAGGGAAGGGGAGTGACTCACCAAGTTCCTACACCAAAGGCTCTTAAGCAAAGTAAGCTATCGTGGGATAAGAGGGAAGGTCCTTTCTGGATCAGTAACTGGTTAAAAGACTGGAAACAAAGGGTGGGAATAAATGGTCAGTTTTCAGAATGGAGAGAGGTAATAGTGGTGTCCCCCAGGGGTCTGTACTGGGACCAGTCCCATTCAACATATTCATAAATGATCTGGAAAAGTGGGTAAAGAGGTGACGAAATTTACAGATGATACAAAACCGCTCAGGATAAGTCCAAAGCAGACTGCAAAGAGTTTCAAAAGAATCTCTCCAAACTGGGTGACTGGGCAACAAAATGGCAGATGAAATTCAATGCTGATAAATGCAAAGTAACGCACATTGGAAAACATAATCCCAACTATACATAAATAATGATGGGGCCTGAATCAGCTGATACCACTCAAGAAAGAGATCTTGGAGTCATTGTGGATAGTTATCTGAAAACATTCACTCAATGTGCTGCGGCAGTCAAAGAAGCGAACTGAATGTTGGGAACCATTAGAAAAGGGAGAGATAATAATGCAGAAAAATATCATATTGCCTCTATATAAATGCATGGTACCCCCACATCTTGAATACTGCATGCAGGTGTGGTTGCTCCATCTCAAAAAAGATATATTGGACGTGGAAAAGGTTCATAAAAGGGCAACAAAAATGACTAGGGGTATGGAACAGGTTCCATATGAGGAAAGATTAAAAAGACGGGGATTTTTCAGCTTGGAAAAGAGACGACAAAGGAGGGATATGGCCACTGTTGGCAGACAGGAGACTGGGCTGGATGGACCATTGAGCTGATCCAGTCTGTCCATTCTTATGTCAGTGTGGAGCTGGAGCTATGCGTGCCATAGCCGTGAGCGCCAGCACATGGGTGTGCCCAGGATCACACACACGCCGTCACATGCGCACGTACCTCTGTGTGCATACCACCACGCACCTGCACGTACACACACGCATGCACCTGCATGTTCATGCCCACACGTGCCCCCACAAACACACACACACATGCTTCACTCACACCCCCACCCATGCACGCATTGCACACGTGCACGCACTCTCGTGCTGCCCAACATGCACCAGGGAGGTTGATTCTCGCTGAGCACCCCAGCTGGCTGCGACTCAGCGGGCTGCAGGGGGCCTGGGCTGCGGGATCTCTGCCAGGGCTCTGAGCTGAGTGCCTGTCATCTCAGGGGACGGTTTGCTGCTGAGCAATGCTCCGAAATGGGTCGGCACCGGCGCATGCTGACGCCAGCCTTCCACTTCGACATCCTGAAGCCCTACATGAAGATCTTCAACCAGAGCACTGACATCATGCATGTGAGTAACCCCCTCCCGTCATGGCACCAAATCTATGCCTGTGCCTCTGGCCCCTCCCACGGCACACGCTGCCCTGGCACCCGCCAGCCTGCCCGGGACCCTCCCCCATGGCACACGCTGCCCTGGCACCCGCCAGCCTGCCCGGGACCCTCCCCCACGGCACACGCTGCCCTGGCACCCGCCAGCCTGCCCGGGACCCTCCCCCACGGCACACGCTGCCCTGGCACCCGCCAGCCTGCCCGGGACCCTCCCCCCATGGCACACGCTGCCCTGGCACCCGCCAGCCTGCCCGGGACCCTCCCCCATGGCACACGCTGCCCTGGCACCCGCCAGCCTGCCCGGGACCCTCCCCCCATGGCACACGCTGCCCTGGCACCCGCCAGCCTGCCCAGGACCCTCCCCCCACGGCACACGCTGCCCTGGCACCTGCCAGCCTGCCCGGGACCCTCCCCCCATGGCACACGCTGCCCTGGCACCCGCCAGCCTGCCCAGGACC